GGCTCGTCCAGACGCACGCAAAGCGTGAGCTTGTCTTTGGACCCCGAAGACGCTTGCACGAAGCAGGGGTGGCCTAGCACACGGGCAGCTGGTGCTAGCTGAAAACAACAAACCTACGCGAAGTCTGAAGCCCTAAGCACGAACATATTTTTTCAATAGCTGTTGCTTGATGATTTGACTAAATTGCCCCCTGTGGGGCTGTCACTGCTGTGGCTGTCAGAGGCAAGCAGCAAGCCTGGCAAGCGCACTTTCTGCTCAACTATTGTGAACTGACATAATGTTCAAATGACCCAATATCCACTCCCAAACTAAAAACAACTGATTTTTTGTTTCCTTTGCTTCGACATGGGTGGCTTGCTTGACCTCAGATAGAGAGCAGGGCTCTCTGGGGCTTCGGCCGTGGCGGCGGTGCTCGCAGATGTGCACCGTGTGGCCGTTCAGGTGCCTGCATCGATCTTTCATTTGGCTGTGGGTCAAAACCGATGGTACCATTTTGGGGTAGGTGCACCACCCATTTTAGTCTATTTTAGTGAGGATTGGGATGTTCACTGGGGGTACGGGATTTTGACCCATGGCCCTTTCTTGCAAGTGACGAGCACCGCCGGGTTGAGCCAGCGTGAGGATGCCGCATCAGAACAAAAAGGCAATGAAAAGCAATGCTTCAAATATTCCGGCTGGCCTCTTTTACGCGTACATGGTACCAAACCCAAGTCGTCTGCCGAAAGCGGGTGCAGCATGGCCGCTGCTAAATGGAACGCCAAACAATATGAAGAGCATTACTGAGTCAGACCTATGGACAGCAATATGATAAACAAGTCTGTGTAGGAACTTGGGGCTAAGCTAAGTTGCTGGTCAATGATAATGAACCAAATCAGAGGAGAATGCGCAATGAGGGCCAACGATGATCAACGATGTGTTGACCACCTCACTGGAAAGTGGCTGTGTCGAACACATAGCCCGCACCACAACAGCGACACCCAGTCCTCATCTTGCCTCAGGATTGTGCCGCGCTTTGTCACAGAGAAAAGCCCAACCACGACAGCAAGCGCAATGGCTTACTCTCACACCCTTGCAAGGTATCACAAAGGCAACTTTTGTGCAGTCAAGTGTCTGCTTTGGAGCCCGCCAATTATCATACAAGCGCCCACGCGCCACTCTTTGTGAACCTGCGCAAGTTGTGCCAGCCCGGACTTCCAACAATCCTTTTGAGCACAAAGCGTTGGCACAACAAAGCAATGGCAAGCAGCTTCATGAGGGCAGCAACTGCTTTTGGCCGCTCGCCTGCTTCACGTCATCCAGGGCCACTTGGCACTCGCCGATCCGAAAACTGCGGGAGGGGTCGAGCACCGCCACCGTGCAGTGCTGCTGGTCCACGCGGGTGATCACGGCAGAGCAGCTCTGATATTCCGGATGAACGCCGAAGCCGAAGCCCAAAATCACAAGATCCCCTTGCCTCGGGTTCCACGCACCTTGCTATGCTGCTCTCGCTTGGGATGCCTTAAGCGCCGGCTTAAGTGATACAGGAACCCTGAATAAATGCGTTCCCCCCCAGCTTCCTCGACCCACTCACAAGCCAAACGCATGCCGCAGGGCTCTGGCTTCTCTCGCCGGAAGTCAGGCCGGCAGAGGGCCTTGAAACCGCCATCCTCCGGGGCAATGATGGAGCTCAGCCTCAGTGGGACCCGCGAGCTACTGGCCATTGACTGATCAGAAACTTGGCGATGGCATGAACAAAGCATGTATAAAGTATGAGTGTACTTTGAACACATAGCTACATCATGCAAAAATGGATGCGTGTAGAATAAGCCGGTATAGGCACGTGAATGCTGATCGGTTGCGTTGTGTGAGTGCGTTCCTAAAATGACTAGATGCATTCACTTGCATCTGAAAACGCTTGATATGCCAGGCACGCCCGGAGCTCACTGATCTAAGGAAGCCCCCAAGTACATCTCCCCAAGATTTGTCAAATTGGTCCCGATCCCTGCCTTTGGCAAACAAGCTGAATGTAGCTGCCACTTGGTGGGCTTTGTAGTCAAAGGGTCTTCATGTCCCATGTGCAAGCATCATGGAATGAAAGCAGGTGACCTTCCCAAGGATTTGGGCGGGTTGGGGGCCGATTCCACGGAGCATTCAAGGGTAATCAAAACTTGGGAAGCCTCCGCGCAACAATTGATACATTATGATACATTGGGCCTGCCAAGGAAGCTCCGGGCACTTCATGTGCCAACGTCCGGTTCAGACATGTCAGAACATGGGGACAAACTGCTCGTTGAAAGTTTACTGATTTGAGCTCATTCGAACAGTCGTCTGGGTCGCACTGTCGATGCAACGTCCCAACAGCTCGGCTGCGGCTGGCACCGCTGCATCACGGGTGTTGCCAGTGCAGAAAAAGAAACACGACGGTCACCAAACGAAGAGCAAAGCATATCATATAGCACGAAAGACTGCACGCCGATCACCGGCAGCGGCCTGAGCATCGCGAGCATCACAAGCAAATCTGTAGCACCAGCGTCCACGTTACCCTCACCCCCGCATAACCAGCACAACTGGCATCGACATCTGCACTGCCTAGCATGACAACCATGACGACAGCATCAGCATTACGATTGCAATTAGCCTCTCCAATCCACATCACTGTCACACCAGTTGATAAGACTGGCAATGGTGCCAACCACCAAAATGTTGAGACATACAGGCTTCCATTGGCAAAAAAGCCTCCCAAATTCTGCGAGAAAATAATTCCCCCTTTCGCTACAAAACCGCTCAAACACCACAATGGCTCGATTACTTCGGGAGGTTCAAAATCTTGAATTTCTTATCGGTTCACTATCGGTCCTTACTCGTTGAGTTGCAATAATGACATAAAACCAACCTCGAGAAAGGTACTTCCCTTGTTTGGGTTGGCAAGCTTTGAACTTTTGTGTTGGTACGCATGGTTTTAGCTGAGGCACAAACAAACCTGGGATTTACTCATATGAAGGGCCTGGAGGGATGATTGCACTTAATTATTCGTCGCTAACTAGGGGGTCCAAGTATGTATCGTTCAAAAATAGGTCTGGCTAACGGTTCAAGACCCTGTTGTTCCTGCAGCCAGAAATTCTATAGATTTGTCCTTGTGGGGGACCCAAAAGGCTATCATAATCGGCTCTGCTGAGCTCCTGTGGCCCCGGTTTGGGATTCCTCACCCGAAGGCCCTCGGTTGCAAAGGCAAAGTTTCCCCTTGGCCGATGACTTGTTTCAGGCCAAGGAGCCTGCATAGCCCCGGAAGCTCCTCGCGAGGTGCGTTGCGGTTGTTATTCAGGAGTGCCTCCACCAGCGAAAAGATGCCTCGCAAACAGCGGCTGCCCACCCAACGCCCTGAAGGACACAAAACTGACAAGCCTTCGCTCGCGAGAATCGGTATCTGCTGCATCCCGAAAACAATGAGTAGATAGTGGCCAACCCCGTTCTCTAGCGGCACAACGGGAGCAAAGGACAAAGAACTCCCAAACCACATGCTCACCCACAAATGGCCACCTTGAAGCATCGCCTCCTTTCCCGGCGCGTGCCTGCGCCGCAGTTGCCGCCTCCCCCACATGCGATGGTCATCGGGAGCGGTTTCAGAACCTGTGCTGCCGTGCTGGGAAAAATCGTCGCTGAAGCGGTGGGATGGCCACTTCTCAGGTGCGAATCTAGGTTGAGTGCGTCAGGGGGCGGGAGTGTCAACAAAGGTCCCGCTTGTGAATGTCAAAAACATCCCACGCATCAACGAGCAGAATGTCGCCACGCTAATATACTTGAGCAAGCTACTATTCTTCATAAAGAAAAATCCTCAACTCAGAGGCCTTCATCCTGAGTGACCTCGTTTTTCACCTAGTGATCTCGCTGCATAGTGACTAACACACAAAACAAGCCAACCAGTTGGCAGGAACTATCTCAATGTAGGGCCCGCATTGCGCAGCTCTACCTTCATATGCCACTAAGGGCAGCAAGGATCCGCTGCATGGGCCCGTGATTGCCACAAGGGCTATCCACAGGCCCGTGGCCTTGCAGCGCAGTCACGCCCCTGAGCAGGCAACGCGTGGCAGGTAGCACACTGCTGTGGAGATGCCCGCGTGAGCATCCACAGCGGCAGCGGCAAGACCTTCAACAAACATCGCGCAAGCGACGGTCTGTCCACTTGGCCGTGAGCCCCTTTTCTTGAAGTCGCGCGACTGCACGCTTGCAAGAAATCTGAATGGTTCGCCGTCTCAAACTCACGCGGCCCAACGTCGACCTCGTCAACCGCCCTTGAGGTGGCACATGAAGATGAGCGAGCTCATCGCCCTAGGCAATATATTTCTCTACGCCCCGCATTGGAGTCCACCTCCGCTTTGTTGCCAGGCCAATTTCCTACCAACGCAGGCTTGGCGTCCAACTCGCAGAGGCCCCGAATAGGTCCAGGGCAATTTTCCAAACCCGATGAGGCCGCGTTCCCAAGCGAAAGCCACCAGTTCATTGCACGCGCCCGCAGTCCTGAAAAACGCACCAGGAAGTTTATCATTTCTCTAGTGACCATCTCCAAAATTGCCTTGAATCTTGTGCCATCCACGATGTCGCGGCCGAACTCGTGGGCTTCCATGGCCGACACAAGGCGGCCACTGGAAGGCTTGAGCCCTTGCGTGTGCCGAACCCTGCATCTCTCAACGCCGATGCGTCTTTTCAGCGCGGCAAACGCTGCCTTCTGGCATTCACTTCTCTCCCCTCTCTGTTTGACTCAAGTCCGGCACCTCGGATTCGGTGAGGTTCTCGTCCAGGCAAAGCTTGCGCCTTGAGCCTAGAGACTGCGGTTGGCGCGCGCCTGCTGCCTCGAGCCAAGTGAATGGCCGCTCGCAGCCGGCCAAACATTGCCATTTTGGCGCAAAGGAGTCTCAACAGAGAAAAACAAGCGAGTTGCAGCAGGAAACTAGCTGGTCCATGTCAAGCAAGCTCTCAAATCTGACGGCAGGTGCCACAAATCAAGTGGATCCTTGGTGCCGCACAAGCTCAATCCCTTGCGGCTGTGCGCCTTTGCCCAATCTGGTCGAAGCCGCACGGCCTGGGCAATTGGACGGGCATGCCTTGCACCCCAAACCTGTCGCTCAGAGCTGCCCCAAGTGACAAAGCCCCACAGTGGCTGGCCTCGTTGGCGGCCTCCAGGGCCTTGTGATGGTCCTTCATTCAGTGATTCAGCCAGAAGGCTGGGAGAAAGAGTCTTCAGTGGCTACCTGCCTTCAGATTTGCATTTGACATTACGGGCAGGCCAGAATGGCTATGCTGGTTGGAAAGGAGCAAGTAGCAAGACCTCAACGCAAACTCTTGGCATGTTTGTGGTGGCGCTGAATGGCACCGGAGCTAGTACCAGTCTTCGTCCGTTGCCACAATCACCTCCTCACTCGAGGGAAGAAACGAACCAGCTACTTCCGAAAGCCCAAACACGTTTGAATGTCGCCTAGGGCGATGAAGTTGGAACGAGGCTTTTCCTTGTCCTAGCGCACTGCCAAACCACCGCAACAACTTCAGCGTGCGGTCCCCCTTCTTGGCATAGGCGGCTGCGATGTTGGATTGGATCGTCGCCGAGAACTCGTCGTCGCCCTTTGCCTCCTGTCTGGATCAAAAGAAAAGGGTGAGCGTGCAGGCGCGGGCCAAGGTCATAAATGGTCGATGTCTAGGTGCCCAGGCATTGGACCAACAAGCGTGTATTGATTGCACTGTGCCGGCAGGGGGACTACCCTTCAAGTTTGCAAGTGGGAACCGTGGATAAGAACTGCAGAAATCAGGCATCGGCTGTTGTTTGCGGCCATTGGGCCTACTTGTCACTGGGCGGAAAACATCTTCTCTGCTGGCCAGGTTTTGTTGATGTTCAGGCCAAACAAGACTCGCGCCTGGAATTAATCAAATCGTGCGGAACTCACGGCATTGCAAGACTGCCGGCGTCCCTTTTTACGCCAGCGCGCAATGAATCCAGCAAGACGTAACCATTCCAACCAAGGGAGGCACACACAAACTCGCTTAGCCTTCAACATGAAGCTGCAGTTACTCAAGAAGACCTGCTCAATCAGGCCTCAAACGTTGGCAAAATCCCAGTAAGCATGAGCCCGTCGAAGAACGAGTTGCATGCCCATCCAACGTGCATGAAACTCAAAGTGAAATCATCAATAAGGATTACTGGGCTAGATTATCTAGCGGCTAGATTCCTAGATTACTTAGGCACCAAAACACGCTGCAATTCGGAGCCAAGCCCCCCCCAAACCCGCCCACCCACCCACCCACCCACCCACACACACACACACACCCTACAAATCAACCATCAGCTGTACGCCCATCCTCAAAACGTCAGGTCCCCCCCCCTCTTCCGCAAGATCTGCTTGGAGTCGGCTGACGGCATGGGCGCCTCCAAGGCTTGGCGATAGCAGGCGATGGCCTGCTCCAGGCGCCCCTCCTGGCAGATGCGATTTTGACAAGCTTGGGATCCAAAAGCTCCCGGAAAGCGCGCAACGTGGCAGCTGATTTGGACATCTTTAGAAAGGTTTGGTGGCCCAAACGCCAGGGCCAGAACCGTCTGAACGGAAAATCGTGTTGGTGGCGCTTGTTCGGTAAAAAAAGAGGCTCAGATCGCTGCCGATCGCTCAACGTCTGAGTACTTGAGCCTATAGCGCTCGTACAGGTTGCCGTGATTTCGCTTCGAGACCAGCCTCCACCCCATCCATTACCGCGCCTTGAAGTTAGCATCACCCTGAGACTTCTGAGGGCCTTCGGCCGGCCAAAGTGGCCGAAGCCAAGGCGTCACAAATTTGAAGCGCTGTCGAAACAAGGATCTTCATGGTTACTTCATTTGGATTTCTCGCAAGTATGGCACCATGAACCTCCCACTCTGCCCCGACACACCCTGCAACCCCGTGATGTGAGCATGTGCCATGACAGTCACAACTGTTTGACTCTGATTGCCTTGGCATGAATGTCCCAAAGAAACATGCGCACACATGCATATAAATCCTAGTACGCACATGCTCTTGTGGTCTTGCTTGCTTGCATGCATGTGCATATGTAGGTGTAAACACACGGAGCTGCACGCTTATGCAAGCAAGCAAGCCAGCCAGCTAGCAAGCAAGCACGCAAGCAAGCCCAAACAACACGCGCACCCACCCCCCCACCCACCCACCCACCCACCCACCCACCCACCCACCCACCCACCCACCCACCCACCCACCCACCCAACCACCCAACCACCCAACCACCCAATCACCCAACCACCCAACTCACGCACGCACGCAGGCACGACGCACGCACGCGCACGCAGAAACAGAAACACAAGCTGAAACAAAAACCCAGGGTGGTGAAACTTCAGACAGTTGAAGGCCGAACTGCTGGTTTTGGCCACCACCACTGTGAGGTTCTCGGGCTTGCATCGGATCTCAGTCCAGTGCGGCGGCATTGCCGGCTGACGCATTTCACGATACCATTGGGTGGTTGGCTTCATCCTCTCCCTTACTTTCCGACCACAGAGGAAATTGTGCCTTAACTTTGATGCACACGTTGAAGCCTCTTCCATTGTCGCCATGAAGGCACCGCTACACCACCGTTTTCTCTTGAACACCCTTGTCTTTACTTTACTGCGGCCGCATTTCCTGCTGCCTGCAGGAAGAATCAACGTCAACATGCGCATGCAACATACTTTGCTTGGCCCACTCCACTTCTCCGAAAAGTGCGTGCGCTCTGGGCCCCCAGCGCGGTCGTCTGCTGGACCATCTATCCTCACCTCGCCAGAAAGATGTTGCCATAGCTGTCAAGGAGGGCAGCGCTACCCGATACCCGCCAGGGCCCTCTCCCGACGCCCGACCCCGCCTCAAAGCGGCCGGCAGCCTCATCCTTGAGCATCACCGTGGCACGCTTGCCATTCAGCTCCGGCTTGCTCTTGAGACCGCTGATCTCTACCTCCAAGAAGCACATTCTGGCCGAAACGACCATTCAGTTAGTTTGAGGTGCCAACCCGTCTGGGGCATGGCCAGTCTTAAATCTGAGATGGCAAGCAAGAATGTTGTCCGCTGACTTGAGGTTGCTCGGGGGCCAAGTCTTGTAAAACGAGAGATCGTGCAAATCACAGCTGCATGACTTGTTGGCGCAAAGGCCCAAGCACCAGCATCTTAAGAACTTGCCCTGTGGGTCACTAAGGTTTGGTGGTGAAGCCTGCCTTCGACCCTTCAAAGAGAGGGAGACAGAGTGTGAGACAAAATGAGACAAACACAAACACAAACACACAAACACCCAAACCCACAAACACGCAAACACACAAACACACAAACACACAAACACACAAACACCCAAACCCACAAACACGCAAACACACAAACACACAAACACACAAACACACAAACACACAAACACGCAAACACGCAAACACACAAACACACAAACACACAAACACACAAACACACAAACACACAAACACGCAAACACGCAAACACACAAACACACAACACACAGACACACAAACACAAACACACAAGCACAAACACAAACACAAACACACAACCACGGACACAAACACAAACACACACACACACAAACACAGACACAGACACAGACACAGACACAGACACAGGC